CTGTAATAGTTGCGGGTGTGCAATATAGCGATTCAACGTTTTTATACCTTACAGTGTGATCACCCCACTAATTCTAGTCATCACCTGTCACCATGCAAACTTATCACAGTGTTATTGACTGTATCCCCTTCCCCTTTTTAACAGCCCCCCACCCCCTTTCTTCTGGGAACCATCTTTTTGGTCTTTGTTTCTATGAGTTTGTTTTTGTTTTGATGTGTTTTGTTTGTTCATATTTTGTTTTTATAAATTCCACATATAAATCAGACCATACAGTATTTGTCTTTCTCTGCCTTCCTTATTTCACTTAGAATAATACCCTCCAGATCCATCCATGTTTTTGCAAATGTCAGTATTTTGGTTTTTATTGCTGCTGTGTACTATTCCATTTTGTGTGTATATAATATATGTGTATATGGGTGTGTATATGTGTGTGCCTCTCTCTATGTGTGTGTATGTCACATCTTCTTTCTCCACTCACCTACCCATGGACACCTGAGTTGCTTCCATATCTTGGCTATTATAAATAATGCTGCAGTGAACATAGGGATGCCTATATTTTTTCAACTAGTGTTTTTGGTTTCTTCGGATAAATACCCAGAAGTAAAATTGCTGTGTCATTAAGTGTGTTACTATTAATTAATTCTATCAACATTTTGCAACTTCATTATTTCCAGGCGTAGGTCTAAGTGTGAAGATACAGAAAAGAAAAAATAATAGCCCTCGTTTCAACCAGCCATTCAGACAGGTATGACCCTATGGGATTCTAGCTGTGATGGTGAGGGGTACCACACCTGTGGCCACACAAATGAGGGGGGCTTACTTGTGAAATAATAAATAGAAGCCTTCCCCAACCAGGTCACATCAGAACTGCATCCTGAAAGAAGGGAACTAAGGAAAAGGCATTAAAAGGAGAAGGAACAGCACATGCCAGACAGGAAACGGTGACAATTTGTGGCAGATTTGGGGAGTAAGAGCCTCTGTGTGGCTGCATCCCAGGCTTAAGTGAGGACAAGGACAGGCAGGGATCAGATGAGCTTTTTATGTCATGCTAAAACATTTGTATTTTACCAGGAAATAACAGGAAGTTTTTGACAGAGTATGTGCTCTAAAATAATATGACTCAAATTATACTATGAGGCTAAAAGATTTTTTTTTTTGTTCTTTAAGATCAGAGACCTTGGTAAAACATCTGAGAATACAATACAATAAAATCAGCAGAATCTAATTCCAATTATAGAGCTGACAGAAATCTCAGTATCCTCATCTGTAAAATGGAGATCGCTATAGGCTTGTTGTAACAAGTACACGAGTTACAGCCTTAGCGCATTTATTACAGTGTCTGGCACACTGTAACCACTCAGTAACTGTGAGCAGGCATTGCCTTCATCATGATCATCATCATTAGAAAAGACTGAATTGGAGACAACGGATGAGAATACTGAGGGCTAATTTTAACATCTAAAGTTAAGAGTAATTTTCCGATTCTGCTGAGTCTATATTGCTTAGAGTAAGAGTCCCTTCAGAGTGAACTACTTTGCCAGAGGCATGGCAGGAAAAGGCATTGGTTAGCAAAATGCACAGATTATGTGCTTGAGAGGAACGTTTCTGCGGATTTTGTGGTCCAAGAGAATATAAAAAAAGAAAACCAGACTTTCAGTTTTTGAGAGCAGTATCTGAGGAGAGTACGTGCTTGATTTGTTCAAGAGGGAAGAGGAAGATATTAATGTCCATAGAAAGAAATTGGAGATAAAACTAACTTTTTCTTTTACTTCACTTTGTTGGTTGGTAGGCTCTCAAAAGGAGAAAAGCTTGCTTTTGGTTTGCTATTAGATCGTAAGTAGCTGCTCACAAGATATCTTTATACTGTGAGGACTGTAGGTTATTTTTCACTGTATTTTGTTATTGGAATCTTTTTTGTAATTGTGCCAAATTGGAAATTTGAAATGTGCAGCAGGTCCTCGAGTAATGTCGTTTCATTCAGTATTGTTTCATTATAATGTTGATGAGCTATCATAGAGACTTAGCTCTTGTTTATATCAATTAACCTATGGTAAAATGAGTGTTGTTATATGTGGTTTGGTAGGATTCCAAGAACCTGTTAATGATACTAAGTGAGGACTTAGTATAGTTTAGCTATTTAAATTTTGGATTCACAACCATCAGCTATCGTACTGAATAGAAGTCTGACAACTACGGAATTAAAGAGACCACATCCATCCAGACTGGTAGGAGGGGTGCAGACACAGAACAGACTGGTCCCACATCCATGTGTGGTGGATCAAAATTTGGGAGGAATATCTTGGGAGTGAAGAGTCTCATCCCCACACCAGGCACCCCAGCCCAGGCTTCTAGTGCCAGGAAGATTAGTCCCCATAACTTGTGGCTGCAAAAATCAGCAGGGACTGAGTGAGTGGAAGAAAGTCCAAAGCAGTTCCCCTTAAAGAACCCACACATGTACTTACTCAGACTCACTTCTTCTGAGCTCCAGCAGGGGGGTAGCAGCTTGAAAGGCATCGGTGGAAAACAGGGAAGAATCGAAGTATCTGCCATCAAGGAGGAGCTGGGGGACAGCTTTCTCCCAGACAGAAAGGCAGGCAGAGGCCATAGTCCTTTTTCTGAGCCCTCCCCAAACAGAGCCTCAGAGCTGGCAGGTGGTTGCCATATCTGAGGCTCCATTAACCTAGCTTACACTTTTTGCCCTGCCCTGGAGGTCCCCTGAGACTGCATCTCACCCAACTTATGGGCCCACCCAAACTGTTAATCATGACTTTTCTATATGAATGGCTGGTCTTGTCTATGCTTCACAACTTCCTAAATACTCTCAAACAGGCAACAGCTGGCCTCAGTGAGCCCCCCACTCCCAGGCCCGGCACTAGCAGCAGCCAGACTAGATTCACAGCTTGGCTTCACCTAAACATCTCCAAGCCCTACACAAGTAGTAGCCATCTCAGATTGCTTTATAGTTCATGCAGGGTAGCCCCAGGTAGAACAAGGGGGGGCTGATCTTGACATGAACCACCCAGTAAACTCCAAGGCCAGCGCATCCAGGGGACAGCTACAGACCACATTAGAGCACTGCCACCCTGCATCTGCATAGCTGATCCTCCACAGAGGGTAGTGGTCATAGCCAGTCCTTGCAACTTGAATGACCAGAGTAAATTCTTCTCATTGACCTGCCATCAGCAATCAAGGCTCAACTACAAGAGGAGGGTATACTCAGCACACTTGGAATGGCACACCTCAAGTACCCCACTTGGGTGATAGCAGAGGCTGTGCCACTGAACCACCGACAGGACCCTACAGGACACCTACTACATTAAGCCATCCTATCAAGACAAAAAGTCATAGCAACTCTACCTAATATGTAAAGACAAATATAAGGAGGCTGCCAAAATGAGGAGACAAAGATATGTGGACCAAATAAAAGAAAAGACCAAAAGTCCAGAAAAGAACTAAATAAAATGGAGATAAGCAATCTATCAGATGCAGAGTTCAAAACACTGGTTAAAAGAATGCTCAGGAAACTTAGTGAAGACCCCAACAGCATAAAAAAGATCCAGGATACACTAATTGAAATGAAGAATAATATTAAGGGAAACAACAGTGGAGGGGATGAAACCAAGAATCAAATCAATGTTTGGAAAATAAGGAAGCAAAAAACAACTAATCAGAGCCACAAGAAGAAAAAAGAATCCCCCCCCCAAAAATGAGGATAGTGTGAGCAATCTCTGGAACAACTTCAAGTGTCCCAACATTTGCATCATAGGGGTGCCAGAAGGACAAGAGAAAGAGCAAGAAATTGAAAATCTATTTGAAAAAATAATGAAAGAAAACTTTCTCGCCCTGGTTGGCGTAGCTCAGTGGATTGAGCGTGGGCCTGTGAACCAGAGTATCGCGGTTCGATTCCCAGTCAGGGCACATGCCTGGGTTGCAGGCCAGTTCCCAGCAGGGGACGCATGAGAGGCAACCATACATTGATATTTCTCTCCCACTCTTTCTCCTTCCCTTCCTCTCTCAAAAAATAAATAAATAAATAAAATATAAAAAAACAAAAAAAAAAAAGAAAACTTTCTTAATTTGATGAAGGAAATAGACATGCAACTCCAGGAAGCTCAGAGAGTCCCAATCAAGATGGATGCAAGGAGGCCCACTCCAAGATACATCATAATTAAAATGCCAAACAAAGGTTAAAGCTAAACAGAGAATCTTAAAAGCAGCAACAGGAAAGCAGTTACTTTCCTACAGGGGAGTTTCCATAAGACTGTTAACTGATTTCTCAAAGGATCGCTCTGCCCAGCAAAGCTATCATTTAGAACTGAAAGGCAGATAAAGAACTTCTCAGACAAGAAAAAACTGAAGTTCATCATCACTAAACCATTATTATATGAAATATTAAAGGGACTTATTTAAGAAAAAGAAGAAGATCAAATCTATGAACAATAAAATGCTAATAAATCATATCTATCAACAATTGAATCTGAAGAACAAAGGAAGCAAGAAAAACAGAGATAGGGTCATGGATACAGAGAGTATTTTGACAGTGGCCGGATAGGAGAGAGGTGTGGGGGAAAGGGTGAAGAGGTGAGAGGATTACGAAGTACAAATCAGTAGTTACAGAATAGCCATGGGGATGTAAGGAAATGGAGCAGCCAAAGAACTTACGTGCATGACCCATGGACATGAACAATGGTGTGGAGATTGCCTGAGGGAGTGAGTGGTGCTGGGTGGAGGTGCAAAGGGGGGAAATTAGAACTGTAGTAGCATAATCAGTAGAATATAATTAAAAAACAAAAAATAAAAGGACACATTTTATGATATATGAATTGCATGTCAATAAAAATATTCAAAGTCTCCTCAAAAAATTAAATTTGGCTGTATTAAAATTTAGGTAAGTCAGAAAGATTTACTATCTGCATAATGCCATCTCTCTATAAAAAATGGACTATACTTCCATGTTCTATAGAATAATAAGTTTACTTTTTGTTGTTCTATTTTGTTAGTGCTCCTATATTCCTCCCTGTAAGAGAGAAAATCAGAAGAACTTGGAAAGTGTCATGAATTGGCAACAGTACTGGAAAGATGAGATTGGTTCCCAGCCATTTACTTGCTATTTTAATCAATTCCAAAGGTAAGCCAATATTTACATGTATTTAGTCTTTGTAGAGTACATTTATATGTAGTCTTTGTAGTTTTACATTATGTAGTATTACATTAGTAAATCATAGGTTGTACTTTCCTGAAAAATATACAACATGGAGATTTCTTTTCAGCATGTACTTAGGGAAGCCCCATCTTACTCTATAGGATGGAAGGAATGTAAAGAATCTGCAGGCAGAGAGAGAGAGAGAACTTCTGTCATAGATCGTACCCTCTGGATACACTAAGAAAGTGCCTTTAAAGCTAGAAAGAAATGATTCTACCTTTAGGTAGAATCATTGTATACTAGTAGTGTTCCCTGCTAATTACAGATTAGTTAACATAAGGTGAACGACTTAAAGGTTCAAATTCATCAGAGTATTTTTTGACTGCATCAAGTATCTTTCCATTTCTTTTCTTCTCTGATCAAATATGAATGAAGTGACTCCATACCATTAAGACTGTATTTGACTTAGAAATCAAGTTATGCCATATAGTTACTGCTCCCTGGACTGCAGCACTTCAGTCCCCACTCAGATTGGTCCCGGTAATTTATTCACCAGACTTTGAGTATTTACACCACCTCGCTGCACATCTCCAGCCCGATGTTGTACGTTTACGTCGGACTTTCTTTTTCTCCAGTGATCCTTCTCTTAGAAAATAGAACTATCATCCACTCGTTTACCTAGACTAGAGCCCTTTTGAGTGATTCTTAATTCGCTTTTTTATACTCTATAACCTGTGTTCACCATTGATCGTACCTCTGTGGTGGCTGTTCTGTGCCTGCCCTGTCCTACTGTCTTAGTTTGGATTTACATTATTTCTCAGCTCCATTAATGCACTAGTCAAATCCTTCCATCTCCACCCTGCCCCCACTGCAAACCATTCTGCATGCTGCTGCCCACGTAATCTTTCTAAAACCTCAGACTAATCAGGTTGTTCATTCTTGTTTTTGAGTAAAGTCCAAATACCGTGGTGTGGCCTATGTATCAAGTACCTACGGCTGTATAACAAAGCACCCTAAATGTAACAGCTTACTACAACAATGATTTATTATTTCTTACGATTTTGTGGGTTGGCTGAAAGGTTCATGTATTGGTCTCTCCTGGGCTCACGAGCAGTTGGATGCTGGCTGGACCAGCTGTATGGCCCACAGGCCCTCTTCTGTCAGGTGCCCAGCACTGGGTGCCGGCTCAGATGTAGCACCTCAGTTCCTCTTCACCTGACCTCATCCTCTAGTAGGCTAGATCACCTTCCTATAACACGGTAGCTCCATATATATTATGTGAGATATATCTATATATTTATATTAGGTACATATATACCCCATATTTATACACCTAATATTATGATTTTGATATGTTATAAATGTTTCTAGTGAACCAAGGCCTGACAGTGTATGGTACTTTAGGTTTGAGGTTATATATAGTAGGGAGTGGTGAATCTGTAAACCAGAAAATAGCATGGGGTTAGATTTCTAAAAGGTCATCAATGCCATGCTAAGGAGATGATCTTTGCCATACAGACAATGAAAAGTTGTAAAGAGTTGTGTTTTCTTTAAACCAAAGACTGACATTAACTAGACCTCTGATTTTAGAAAGTAACCAGTGTGGGTGCTGAATGTGTAGTGGGAAGGAGGTAGGAATGAAAGGCAGGGAGCTCTCGCTCAGTGATGGGGGAAGTGCAGAAAGTACTGAGTGAAAAAAACATTTTTGAGTGGCTCTGATGTGCCAATCATTGCAAATAACGTTTGGGTTATAACACCGAATTTCTTACAGTGATTCAGAGTACTAACCCCATTTAACAGATGAGGAAACTGAGTCCCAAAGAAGTTAAGAACTTGTCCAATGCGCAGAGCTATTAAGTGAAAAAAATGGAATCCGCTGAGTCTGATTCCCAAAGCCCCTCTGTTAACCGTCTGCTGGTCCTGAAAAAGCATTCTGAGAGCCTAAACAGGAGCAGTGGGCGTGGAGGGATCTAAAAGGGCGTGTGCCAGCAAGACATTCAGAGTCACAATCAAACCTGAATGACGATGTAAGTGATGAGGACAAGAAAGGTGTCAAATCTGACTGAGTGTGAGAAAAAAGGCAGCCCAGCTCTGACTATGGCGAACTTGAGGGACTCAGAAGATATCCAGAAGCTGCTTGAAAGAGTTAGAAATACAGACTTTTAGTTCAGGAGCAGGAGGTGAGGACCAGTGTTAGTGCAGATCTGGGCATCGTTGGCATGCGAGCTATAGTTGAAGCACAGAAAAAGAACGCGTACCGGGAACACAGAGAGAGGAATATGACGGCGTCTTGAGATCACCCACACTTAGGTATGGGGAGAGAAGGTGGAGAAAGTGGTCAGGTGGCGAGAGGCAGGCAATACAGAATACTATCTTGGAAAATTTTTAAGGTTTTTTTTTATTGTTGTTCAGTGAGTTGTCCCACTTTTTCCCCATTGCCCCCCTACCCTGTACTCCCCCACCACCCTCATAGACATGCCCCCGCATTGTCTATGCCCATGAGTCCTCTGTTCGTGTTCCTTTGCTTGCTCCTTCCCCTTCTAAGGAGAAAAAGGTAATCTCGAGGGACTCCTGAGAAGCCACAATTAGAAGTCTGGTGGCAACCAAGGTGAAAGCTTAACTGCAGTCCTAGGATGCGGGGTTAGGAATCATTTTATATTTTTCTCAGGTGAGAATGTGAAGGCATAGTGCAGAGTACTCTTTCAAGAAGCTTTCCATGGCCAGAAAAAAGAGCATGGGGAGGAGGTGAGGAATTGAGAGGGAGGGAGGAATGGATACAGAGACGCGAGCCTGCTACAGACTAATGCTGCCGAGAAAGAGAGAAGCATTGAACGGCACATGGAACACACCCCGAAAACAATGACATGGGATGAAATGAAAAGGTTAAGAAGTAGCGATATTTTTTCCTGTGAGGCAGGAGCTAACAGAATAGGTGCCTGCCCACAGTCAGGAGGACAGTTGAATAGAGAACCTGTGACCGTCTGAATTGGACAATCCCTATGCTTCCGGCCTGTGACCAGGGACCGGCCGCAGAATACAGGTGAGCTTGACCTTTCAGATGGAAGCAAACAGGGTGTCCCTGGCCATGGGCTGTCCTGACTAACTGGGCTTGGTCTTCTTCTTCTTCTTCTTTTTATATTTTAAGATTTTATTTATTTATTTTTAAAGAGAAGGAAAGGGAGGGAGACAGAGAGGGAGAAAAAACATCTCTGTGAGAGATGTCAATTGGTTGCCTATTGCCAGCCCCCTACTGGTCCCGCCCTGCAACCCAGGCATGTGCCCCGACTGGGAGTGGAAGCAGCGACATTTCGCTTTGCGGGACAACACCCAGCCAAGGCACATGGGTCGGGGCTGGTCTTGGTCTTCTTAATAAACTTCCCCTCACTCCCATTCAGGTGCCGAGTTCTCCAAAGGCTGCCTCCCCGAGACAGGGTTGCCTCCTGTGAGGGCACAGAGTCTGAATATCCTCAGCACCCAGTCAAGGACTGTTCCTCCAGAATAGTGAGGACTCACTGAAAAGCGCTTCATTCTGCACCATCTCTGTTAAGTTTGGTAACAGTAAAGTTAAGCCCATCATACCTCCCTCAGAATGGATACTCATTCCCTGCCCATCACTTCACTGTCTCATCCCTAAACTGTCAGGGTGTAGATAGACTGGGGGTGGTCTGTCACAACCCAGCAGCTCTCGAGACACGGTTGGAAGTGACTCCAGGAGAACAGATGAGGGGAGTTTGGCTCCTTTACCCTGACATATGCAAGAGGAAACAAGACTGCTGCTTGGGGTGTGGGACATGGCAGCTCCCTGGTGCCATCTTCTCTCCCTAGACTTTTCACTACCGCTAAATTGCTAAATGTGAGACAAAGATAGACTTACTGTAGAGACTCCCAGATGCTCTCAATAAGATGAACTTTACATTCAAAGTAACCTTTAGATTTCACTCACATGCAGGAAATTAGGGAGAATAGTTATCAGGTAGTTTCCATTTTCAAGAGAAGGATATTTTAAAAGTTGAAGACAGATAGTGGCGTCTTAGCTTCCCACTGTTTAAGCCTCATTTAGGAGAGCCACCTTCGGGAGCAGAAGCTGCGGTGGCCAGAGCAGCCACCAGCAGCCACGTCTGCCGTGGGAGGCCAGTCCCCACGTGGCCACCCCGCTGCCGCACCCAGGGAGGCTGCCAGGGCTTGGTGGGGCACGCGCTGGCTGGCTGCTTCCCTTCCTTGCTTTCTCATATAACCTTTCAGCTCTTGGTCTCCTTCAATCTTGGGCTCTCAGTCTCCTCCTTAATGTACAGATTTATATTTTACACATTTGCACGTAGGTGAGGTCACACTTCCCCGCTCTCTACCATTTTTATTTTTTGTCTTTTATCCTCTCCCCAGGCTTTTTTTTCCTCAGCAAAACCCGAATTATATCCCATTACTGAGTATGTTTTGAAATCTTCATTCCAGTGCTAGAAAAGTTCTCTGTAGCCTGTCTTCTCACACAATGCACCTCTTCGTCTTTGCCTTAAATGGCTTCCCCTTCATGGGCAGATGTCCCTGGAAAATGGTTACCCTTCAATTCCTTTTGGATCTAAGGGCCAGGAGGAGGGATCAGTCTTTTATTTATTTTTTTTATCTTTTCCACTAATGGGGAAATTTCCACTAATAGTGTTTTTCTATATAGATTTACTTTAAAAATTAAATATTTATTTATTTATTTCTAGAGAGAGGGGGGAGGGAAGGAGAAAAGTCACCATGTGTGGTTACCTCTTGCATGCCCCCTACTGGGGACCCAGTCCACAACCCAGGCATGTGCCCTGATCGGGAATGGAACAGGCAACCTTTCGGTTCACAGGCTGGTACTCCATCCACTGATCTGTACCAGCCAGGGCGAGATCTACTTTTTTAAGTAAAAATTTTACTTTTTTATTTTATCCTTCTGAGTTCACAGAATGCCCAGAGCAGGCACACACACTCTCTGAACGCACAAACCCAGCCACGCC